ACTGACAAATATTAGCAACTCATTTTATATGGCAACTTTAAGGTTCTTTCCTTTCAAAAGTTCTATTGGCCATACATGTATTATCATTATCATCACTTTAGAGATAAAAAAAAAATATGGCTTAGACAGGTGAAGTGACTTGAGAAAAATCACACGTACTAATAAGTGATAGAGCTCTTGAATTCATAGTTCTTCTAACTTTGAGTCCACTGCTCCTATTATTTCTACTAGATCACGCAAAGAGGCTAAGAGTTATGGTTGTCAAGATAATGGATAATTTATCTGGTAGTCATAGATGATTTCATTTTTACTAAAATTTCTGTAACAGAAAAAGAGTGAAGTCCGAGGAACATAATATCCTAAGTTATGACTTTATAACAACCAAATATAATGACATTTTGAAGACCTTATCTTCCTTGACACCTCTGTAGCATCTAACAAACTACTAAACAATTTTTTACTGACTTTGCAGATAATCATCTGTTTCTTCTCCTACCTCTCTGACCACTCCTTCTCTGTCTCCTTTACTGGATCTTTATATCATCTTCCTGATTTAAAGCGGAAATTCATCAAAGTTTTGTTTTTGGCACTCGTCTCTTATGGTATACTCTCAGTATTCACTCCCATGACTTCAATTATCACCTCCAATAATTTCTATGTCTATCTGACCTCTCTTGTGAATTCTAGACCTCCATTATCAGCTGGCTAACACTTAACTTGTCCAAAACTGAAATTATCTTTTAACATAAAACTGACTGTCCTTTGACTTTATCAACTTCAGTGGCACTACCATTTCCTCAGTTTTCCATTTTTGAAACATTAGTGTTATTGTCAATTCCCTCTTCTCACCTTTCACATCTAATCAGCTGCCAAGTTCTGCTGCCTTCATATTTCTTTAATCCATCCTCTCCTTCTCTTTCCCTCTGCCATTACCCTAATTCAGGCCCACATTAACACCTGCCCCGACAAATACAATAGCTTCCTAAAAACTTTTTTCATACTTATAACAAAGTGATGTTCTTTCTTATAATTATTTTGATTATAGCACTCCTGTGTTCAAAAATCTTAAAGTGTTCCCTACTGCCAGTAAATAAAATTCAAATTTTTTTACCCAGAATTTAAGGCCTTCCATAAAGTGGCTCTATTCTAATCAACACTTCAGCACCTTCCCATCTTGCTCCTTATGCCTGGAGTGTTTCCCTTCCCTTCTTCACGTGATGAGTTACTATCCAACTTTTAAAACCCAAAGCAAATGTCACATCCTTCATGAAGCTATCCCTGATCTCCCATAATACCCATCCAACCAGACTTCCCCCTTCCTCTTTTAATCCACACAGAGCACTTTGCTTTATACCTTTATAATGCACATACCTTGTAATATTGTCTATTATCATAGTTATCTATACTTATGTCTTATGCCCTAACTTGACTGCAAGACCCATGAGGGCAGGTGGACTACATGCTACCTGAAATCTGTATTGTCCCCAAACTCCTAGCACAATGGCACTATAAGCACTTAATATCTACTGAAACTGAATAAAAATTCACTGAGGCTAAGACTTGTATTTTCCATAGTATACAACATCAAGCATAAACATGATGCTCAATGCAAAATAGTTCAAAAATATAATAAAGGTATACAAAAGATACAAAGATATATCAATCAGCAAACATTTATTAAGCACCTGCTATGTTCCAGACAGTAGGCTAACAACTGTGGATACAGAAACAAAAACTAAGTCTCTGCTTATATTACACAAGCTTGCAATCTAATGAAGGAGTCAATGGATATTTATAAAGGTTTATACAAAATAGATACAAGGTAACCTGGGGAGAGACAGGGAAGTGTTAGCAGCTTGAGAGGACTACGAAAGGCCTCATGCAGAAGGTGGCTCTTGGGCCATATCTTGAAGGAAACGAGGGATTTTAAGAGGCAGAAGTGAGGAGGGAGTATAATCCAGAACTGGAGATATTTAGTACAAAGGCACAGAGATGGGAAGTAGAGAACATGTGTAAAGAACAGTAATAAAGTCAGTTTTGCCAGACCACAGAATATATAGAATGGGACCAGATTGTGAAGAACAATTAATGCCAAGTAGTTTATATTTGATCCTAGAGAGAATGGAAAGCCACTCAAATCTAATCAGTAAATGGGTGCACCCTAAAAAACCACTTTCATGGCAGTATAGAAGATGGACTAGACTGGAGAGAGAAATGAAGCAAGGAGAACAATTATGAAGCTACTGTAGTATTCAAGTAAAAGGTGATGAGACTTGAACTACAGAGAAGGGTACAAATGCAAGAGACAGTATGGAGACAGAATTAAGAGTCTGTAATTAAATTAATATGTGGAGAGAAAGTTAGAAGTTGAGGATGAAACTGTGGTTACAAACCTGAGTGACTAGAATGATGATGGCATTCTGGACAAAAATAGAGAAATTTAAAAGAGGAGTGGGTTTAGGAGAAAAATAATGAGTTTGGTATTGGACCTGTTGAGTTTGAGATGTCTATGGGACATTCAATTCAAAATGTCTAACAGGTAGTTAGAGATTTAAGACTGGAGCTCAGAAGACAATGAGGTTAGAAATAGTAGATTTATGGGTCATATGAATAAAAATGATAATCAAAACCATGGGAGATGATGAGATTACCAAGTGTAAGAGTATAGACAGAAATGGAAAGAGGGACCACAACAGCACATAGCAAAAGAGGGCAGAGTTCAGACTGGTACCATCTTATTCCTGAAAGTTATCTTTTAATCCAGCCCAGGACTACATTAGCATTTTTGGTGGCCATATCACTGCTGACTCATAGTGAGACTGCTATCCACTAAAATCCTGAGATCTTTTTCAGACTGCTGTCTAGCCATGTTTCCCCCACCTTTCACAATGAATTCAACTGCTTGAACCCAAGTGTAATATTTTACATTTATCCCTATTAAATTTCACTTTGGTAGATTTAGTTCAGTTTTTTAACCTGTCAGAGACCTTTTAGAATGATCATCAATCTGTACCCAGTGTGCTAGCCATTCTTCTTTGCTTTCTGTCATCTGCAAATTAAAGTTACCATCTATCCCTTTATCCAAATCATTGATAAAAATGTTTACTAACTAACATAGGCCTGAACGCAGATATCTGGGATACTCTACCGGAGGATTCTTTTCAAACTGGCATGGAACCATAAATGGATACTCTTTGAGATCAGCATTTAAACATTATGAATCCATCTAATGGTATCTTCTAACCCAAGTCTCTCCACCTTTTCCACAATCAATCAATAAGCATTTATTCAAGTCCTTATATGTTCCAGGCACTATGCTAGGGCATTGGGAACACAAGGAAAAAATTTAAATAGTTCCTCTTCTTTCAAGGAGCTTACAATTTAAGAGGGGAAACAACAACATACATACATACATACATACATACATACACATACACATACATACAAATGAATGGTACAAAGTACTGCAAGGATTTAAAGGCATTCACTTTAGGAATTTAATTTAATAGAGGAACTTAAAGAAGATAACTATAAGCTGGAATAGGCCAGGAAGACTTTACTAAAGAGGGATTTGAGCTGATCTTGAGAGACAGAGAAACCTGGATATACAACACCAGAACTTGAGATCTAAATATCTAGCTCTTTTGTTTTTTGTGCAACACTGACTAAATTAATGTACATTAATTCATTTTTAGGAATAGCTATTTGCCACTTTTGCCTCTAAAAATAGTGTTGCTTTACTGTGACATGTAGGTAAACATGGATTGCCAGTAGATTCTAAGCTCTGGAGGGTACCAAATTGGAATGGCTTTGCTATGGCATAAGTGTAAGATTACTCAGAAACATTCTGTTTATGTATCATGAATCCTTCTCTTTTTTGGGGGGCGGGTAACACTAGGCAATGGGGGTAAGTGACTTGTCCAGGGTCACACAGCTAACAAGTGTCAAGAGTCTGAGGCCGAATTTGAACTCAGGTCCTCCGGACTCCAGGGCCGGTGGTCTATCCACTGCATCATCTAGCTGTCCCCTACCCCAAATCTTTCTTTAAAGAGAACCAAAAGGCACTACCAAATATGGCAAATGCCAAATATTCCAAAACTCTAACGGATTTGTGATCTCAGTAATAATAGGTACTCCTTGCAGCCATGCATATCACAACCATCCATACCTACCAATCTCCTGCAACTTTCATCTATGTCCTTCCAAAAGTTTGCCACAGGGAGTCCACCCAACATCACATAAAAATGAAACTGATTATTACTAACAAAGCAGTCATCTACAAATCAGCTCTCTATATACACTCAGACCACTAACCTGTTGAGTAAAAAATCAAAATCAAAACCAAATTTGGAGAAAGGATAAAAATGAGATGACATTGCATGCAATGACAACAGCTCCAAACCAATTTATTTAAGCAACCTGTAGACCAGAGATTCTCAATCTTTGTGTCATGGACCCTTTGATGGTCTAGTAAAGCCTATGGCCCACTTACCCAGAATAAAGTTTCTAAATGTATTAGTTAAAATATATTTACAAATGAAACAGACTATCTTGAAATACAATTATCAGAGTATTTAAAAGGCAAGTTCAGAGACTCCAGATTAAGACTTCCACCTGAAAACTTTTTTTAAAGACAACTATATAAAAGATAATGATTTAGAACAAAATTTCCTGAAAAGTTTATTTAACAGATATAAAATAGCTGCCACAAGGAGGCCAAAAGAACCCAGAAATTACCTCTCAGCTAAACATTTGATTTTCTTACCAAGAGATATGATAGCCAATGTCAACAGTGGTTTAGACTACAAGCTCATCTGCAAAATATAAAGGAGAAAGGTGGAGTAAGATTATAAACAGAATGCCTCCCCAAAAGGTGAAAGGAAAAACAGGCATGCAGAAAGTCTAGCATTAGAGGCTGCTACATCAGATCACGTCAAGAGTATTTTAAGATGAAACACCTAATAGGTGAAAAATGATTTACCATCATTTTTTGGTTTTAGTCTCATCACTGATACTGGAATTTGGACTCTGACACCTTAATAGCAGATGGAAAGATGAAGATAAAGTCAGTACAAGTGGTTTAGTCAGACCAAGCACACAAAGAAGAAAGTCACACAAGGAGGGACAGAAGAAGGGAGGAAAGACAGTATTTATGGAAAGGATGACCATATGGAAGCCCAACACTCCTATATCTATGGTAAGCCAGTATGTTTTGTTGTTTTGTTGAATTGTTTTTCTTTGAGAAAAAGAAATGTTCAAGAAAGGTGGCTATTATTGGGTAATAAAAGTGATATTTTAAAAAGCTGAGTTTTTTTTAATAGTAAATTAGATTGTTTCCCTTAAGCTTAAAAAAAAAGCCCTTTCCCAACTTTCCAAAGGCATGCAAGAACTGTAAAGATACACTCAACATTAATAAATCCTGAACTTAAAGAATGACAAAATGCACAGAACTGTGCAGTATGTCATGAGTTGGGTTCTAGTCCTGAATCTGGCACTAACTAGTTCTGTGATCTTGGACAAAATGCACAGTTTCCCAGAGGCTGTTTAGGAAGGAAGTCAGAGTCTACTAGATGATCTCTAAGGTCTCTTGTTTAGTTATTATGTTTCTCTAATAGCATTGATATAAATAGCATTTAAAATTCTTTGGAAAATAGAAATAAAAATTTAATTACAAAAGAAAAACCTAATAATGATATAATCCATGTTTTGTTCATTAAAAAAAATTTTCAGGGGCAGCTAGGTGGTGCAGTGGAAAGAACACCAACCCTGGAGTCAGGAGGACCTGAGTTCAAATATGGCCTCAGACACTTGACACTTAACTAGCTGTGTGACCCCGGGCAAGTCACTTAACCTCACTGCCTAGCAAAAAGGAAAAAAAATTCTCCTCTTAACATATAGTAAGAGGGCAACTTACTAGATAATAATGTAATAGCTAATATAATAGCTACCATTTATATAGCACTTTAAGTTTCTAAAGTTTGATCCTTCCAACAACTCCAGAAGGTAGGTGTTATTATTATCCCCATTTTACAGACGAAGAAACTAAAACAGACAAAAGTTAAATGACTTGCCCATGGTTACATGGCTAGTAAGTTTCAGGGGCAATCAATATCTGAACTCAGGTCTTCCTTACTCCAAACCTAGCACTTTATCCTCTGCACTACCTCACTGTCTAACCAAAAATACAAATAAAATTGCTAAGAAAAATTATATTTCAGTTATCTAGAATTTGAGGGCTTTTTCAATTTGTATTAAAAGCATATTCCTATAACCTACCACATTGTTTAAAAAAATAATTTCATTCCACACATTATATTGAAGTTTCCAATGAAACACTCGTGTTTGAGGGGAAACCACTAAAAAAGGACAAGCTTAAAAGGACTTTTTGTGATTAAAAGTACCTGTCTAAAATCAAGAATGAATGCAAATTAAAACACTACTGAGCTTTTACCTCACAAATAGCCATTTGGCAAAGACAAAAAATATAAATGGTCGATTTTGACAAGGCTATGGGAGAAGTACACTAATATACTCTTAGTCTGGTCACAAACAGGTATAACCATTCTGGAAAACAATTTGGAATTACAAAAGAAAGGTCACTAAACAGCTCAGACACAGGAGCCCCAGTACTGAGCTTATACCAGGTGAAAGATAAAAGGGAAGGTCCCATATATAACAAAATATTCATAGCAGCAATTTTTATGGTAGCAAAAAATAGAAAAGTAACTGTTTACAAACTGAGAATGGCTAAACAAACTGTGATATAAAAATCAAACAGCACAGCAACACAAAAAAATATGAGAATTAAGAGAAACTTATGAAACTTGATGAAACTTTGGACTCTGTCCCTGGGATGCTGGCCTCTGACAGCGAGCTTTCACCTTATCTTGCCCAGAACCAGGCCTCTCCCAGTGATTTTCCAAACCATGTAGATGCCCCAGTATCAACCCTCTCCCCTCTTTCAGCTCCCTTTTATGTGTTGTCCTCTCCTATGTGAATGTAAACTCTTTGAGGGCTAAAATGGTTTAGTTTGCTTGTTTTACTATCACCAGCACTTAGTGCCTCACACATTTATTCATTCATTCATGTATGTATGAATTTATGTAGAGTAAACAGAACCAGAAGAACAATATGCATGATGATATAATAATATAAACAAAAACAATATTGAAAAAGGTAGCTGAATTAAAATTAATTGTAATGAATAACCTTGGTCGCAGAGAAAAGATGGTGATACTCCTATCTCAGTAGAGAACTACAGGCACAGAATCTTCCATACATTGTTACTTGGTGTTTTGTTGTCTGGTTTTGTGTAACTGCTTTTCTTTGCAAAAGGGAAGGGAAATAGCATTCAGTGGTTAAAAAAAAAAAAAGAAAAGCATCAATAAAACTGTAATAACTAGTATTATTTCTAATAGAGAAACACTGGAAGCATTCCCAATAAGATCAAGGGCAAAGCAAAGATATCTACTATCTCCACTATTATTTGACCTTTTATTTTTTTACTGTACTTTTAAACCTTTGATTTCTTATGTAGGTAACTATCAGAAAGAGAACTCCATCTACCAATGAAGATCGGCTGTGAAATTTATAGCCTTAGCAAGCTACCAAAGGCACTGAGAAGTTAACTGACTTATCCAGAAACATAGAGCCATACAGGATCATTTGTAAAACAAGTCAGACTTGTGCTTGAGGAACATGACTTTGGCAGGTATGTGGAGAACTGACTGGAGAGGAAGGAGAGACTGGAAGGCAGGAGCTCAACTAAGAGACTAATTTCTATAGTCCCAGCAAGAGATAAAAGCCTGAACTAGGTTAATGATTGGACGAATGGAAAGAAAAGGATATATACAAAAGATGTTGAAGAGGAAGAATCAACAAGACTTAGCAACTGACTGGATATGAGTGGTAAAGGAGATAGAAAAGTCAATATGACTGTGAACCTGGATGACTAAACTCAGTCTAGAGTAATAAACTAGATAAGCAAGACCTAGAAACAAATATGCCAAAGCAGTCTAGCATTCCATAACCTCAAGAAACACTAGCTTTTTGGGAATAAGTCCTTATTTTATAAGAACTGCTGAGAAAACTGAATAATATTTCAGTGAAAAAGCTTTTAGAGCTGCATATTATATCTTCTAGTGCATATCCCAAAGGTGGCATCTAAATGTAAAAAGGTACAGCATAAAATATTCAGGGAAGACTAGAAAGTCTTTTTTTTTCTTCTCACAATTATAGATAGGGCAAAATCACTAACAAGAAAAGGAAGAGAAGATAATTCTGATTTCAGAATATTTAAACCTTTTGCACAAATAAAATCAACGCAACTAAAATCAGAGACACAGATGGAGAAAAACGTTTCTATCAAATACCTAAGAGTATGACACACAAAATCTATAGGGAATTGATACGAGTTTTTAAGAATAACCCCAACAGACAAGTGTTCAGGTCAGACAAATAGTTTTCAAAAGAAATACAAACTATCTTTCACCACCTAAAAATGTCCAAAATAACTAATAAACTGAGAAATGTCAATCAAAACAACTCTAAGATACCACTATATCTACAATGCTTGCAAAATTGTCTGAAGAAAAACTCATCTTTAGAGAGACTGTGGTAATATAAGCACACCAATTCACTGCTCCCAGAATTGTTTATGCATTTAACCATTCTGGAAAATGATTTGGAATGATATAATTAAAGTTACTAAACTGTTAAAAATCCTTTCAACAAGAGATTACACTACTAAGCCTACAGCCTAAGGAAGTTACTGACATCAAGAAAAAACTTCTATGAATAAAAATGTCCAAAACAGTATTATTTGTGAAAATAAACACTGGAAACAAAATGGGTCAATTTGGGAGTGGCTGAACATATTATATATATTAATGTAATATTATTGTGCCATAAGTAAGGAATATCAAATATGAAGAATTAATAGAAACAAGAAAGTACCTGTATGAAATGATGTTAAGTGTAGAAAACAAAGAAAAAAGAACATATACATTTAATGCAACAATGTAAATAAAATCAACATAGAAACAAACCTCTCGCCAAATACAACTGTCAATATTATAGTACCTGAATATCAAAATTAAAAAAACATTTCTTCTTTCTGCTAATCACTGATAATCCTGCTAGGTTTATAAGGTTTTATTAATTTTGGTGAGGGGGGAAGAAATGTACTTTCTAGAGGGGTTTTCTTGTATGTTTTTTGGGAAGTATCTGTTGTGTCAAACAAAATGTATCAATACATTTAAAAATTTAAAAAAATTGTTATAGTGAAACTTAAGGACTATACAATCTAACTGTACTAAACACTAAAATATTTCTAGCGCATGTAAAAATAAAGCCAAATTTGTTTTCTTGCACCCTTAAAAAAATAAATATTTACCAATCTTAAAAAATATTTATAAGTTCCAAACAGCAACACAAAATAACCCCTCAATATTCCCTGAGTCTAGGCAAAAATTAGAATTTAAGAATGAAATACGTTCATTTAATGTGTATATTTTAAATTTTACTTAGAAATTTAAATAATATGATTCTGTGTTTTTGAGATTTAAAGTCCTTACTGTTCTCATAGGAATGGGCTCCCAATAAAATGGGATATAATTTTAATTTTATTGAATTTTGAAGACTAAATTTTACAGTAATAGTGTTTGCCTACTCCATAACACTATGGTAAAAGAAGGCCTCTCTCTTCTTGGTTGTCAAATGAATCATAAGTCTTGTAAGTAAATCATCTAGGTAAGATATTCTTGTGCATGAATAAAGCATTGTGGACATACCAAAAAAGTAATTTCTCAAAACTAAGATATCATCAATAAGTCCAGAATACATGAAAACTGTATTCTGCAATATCACCATGAGGTTTGTAACCTATATTTCCTATTTTTCTAAATTTCACAAAATAAAAAAGCTTACAAGAAGCTGAAAGGTGGGAATCCTTACAAAACTGTGGAAGGAAAATTTACTTTAAAAAAAGTTTTTTACGTTAAAATGTGGATATATCCCAAGATGAAGTTGTTTTTAAAAATCACACATCACCATGTGAAGTAAATACAATTTAGACATTTGAAAAACAATGTATATTTCCATCAGCTTCACAAGAAATCTTTATCAGTGTGTCAAGAGTTAAGCTATAACTCACTTTATGACTTTAAATAATTTTTTAAAAAATAGTTAAACATAAATTTCAAAATCCTTTTCTAATCAAGTCAAAAGGAAATGAAATATAAAATGAGGAGGAACTGGATTTTCCAGATAGAAGGTAAGGAGAGGAGGTAGAGAAAGAGGAAGGAGGGTAAGAATGAGAGAAGGGAAATAAAGAGAAAAAGAAATGAGGTGGAAGAGAGAGAGAGAGAGAGAGAGAGAGAGAAAGAGAGATCTGGTACAGAAGCAAAAGCAATGAGACCACTTTGGGTAGTTTTTTAAATGCATAAACCATGGCATGTTATCTTACCTGTGATTTTATCTTTGTGCCTAAGAGTAAAAAACAGCCATAAATTCTAATTTTCTAACAAATTTGCATGCAATTTTTGTTTGAAAAACTAAATACAATTGTAATGGCTGACCTGCTAAGTTATTTTTTATGCAGAAAGAATTTTATCAACACAAAATTAATGTAGGTGAACCTTTAGGAATATAAAATAAAACAAAACACAATACAACAGATTAGATCAATTTAAAAATGACCTAAAAGCAGTATCTTCTTATATGAATAGTGGAACAACAAAAATATCCTAAGATATCCATTTTTTCAAAAATCAGGTTGCCAATGAAAAGGTTAGCATAGTAACTTCTATGGAAGTTACCTTGTACTTACTGGATATAATTTTTATAATTTTCAACAATAAATCTTTATTCATACACTTTTCTAAGGCTTTCAATTAAAGACCTGCTAGAATGAAGATATACTTACTCATTATGATAAAACTCAGCAATTAAACTACTTTCATTAAACTCAGCAAACAATTAAACTAGGGTGGCAGGAATTTGTCCTCAACATCTGTTTCCCCCTTCTGCAACAGCATTTCTGTGGCAAGAGAAACTGGTGAAACTGTTCATCATCGGCTTATCCCATTTCCTGTCCCATCTCATCTGAAAAGTGAGGGAGCAGGACTTGATGTTCAAGTCTCATTCAGATGAAGAATCAATGAATTTGTGAACAAAGTTTAAGAAAACAAAGATCCTACATGAAAATATCAACAAAGGTGCTTTATTCTCGTTGGAAAATGAAAAGGTTCGTTTAAAGAAACCACATTATTTTTTACTTTTTTTTTTACTTTTTAGGCAATTGGGGTTAAGTGACTTGACCAGGGTCACACAGCTAGTAAACGTCAAGTGTTTGGTCTGGGCCGGATTTGAACTCAGGTCCTCCTGATTTCAGGGCTGGTGCTCTATCCACTGTGCCACCTAGCTGCCCCACATTATTTTTAATCCTCTATTTCTCCAGTGTGCTAAAAACAAATGTACATAAATATGATTTAAATACAACTTAAGGGGCCTATTGTATAAAAGCCAGGTATACCTGTACTACCAAAAGCTGTCCAGACCATCCCACCACTTTCCTTTTACCTAACGAATTCAAAATGACAAAAGGAAATCAAGTCCTGGTTTTGCCACTGACTTAGGTTCTAGGTAAGTTATAAATATCATACTACTACGGCCAAGAGAGTCCTTGGAGATCATCTAATCCAACCACTTCATTTTACAGATGAAGACACCAAAGCCTGGACAGACGAAATGCCTAGCCCAAGATCACACAGCTACTGAGGAGCAAGACTGACTCCCAGTCCACTTGTTATTTCCACTACAGATCTCCTAGTCTTCTTCCTTCCCACCCAGCCACCTACCTCCCAAACCATTATCTCTTCCTCTTAGACAACAAGCAGTAGATCTGTTTTTGAATTTTTATATACAAATGTGGCACATCCTTCACAAGCAAAGGAGCAAGCTTTAAATACATGAAATACCATTTATCCCTAACCATGACATCACACCTAGGCCACGGGCTCCAAACTTCCCTTAAATCCAGTATCACGACAATCTTGGACTTCAGGATTAAAAGATTCCAAAAACATACTTTACATACTGTCAAAAAGAAACAATCCACAAAAAAAGTTACTGACAGTAATGTCTTAGGGTTGAAAGCTCAAACTTCTTTTTAAAATTTAACTTATCCAAAAATAATTTTAAGCTACAATTTAATACTAGCTTTGCATACACGTTTCTTCTGGAAAATTTCCTTCAGATACTTTAGTTCTCTAGTGTCTTTTGTCAATGAACTGAAGTGCCGGCTTTGAATAAAAAAAAAAAATTATTCTCATCCAAAAGCGTAAAGGAGAGATTATGCTGTGAGTCTGATATAAATAAAACTATGCTATCCCAATAAAAATCGACTTGTTTGACTTCAGGCAACCAGGATAACTAGTAGACAAACTGTCCCGCAAATATGATTCATTTCTCATTAAAAGTGCTTCATGGTTAGTTAAAGTGACAGGCCACAAAACCTAGACGATACATTTTAGCTAATTAAAACACATCTTAGCAGACATTTAACTTCTACGTGTGGAACTGGGAAGCCTGCATTTCCTTGCCCGACTTTAGCAACCCCTTTTATTTATAAAGGTACATTCAGGCCCCATTTTACTCAACATTTAACCCAGCTGCCTTCGCTAGGTGATAACGTGGTTGGCTCTTTAATTGAAGTTTGACACTCTCGGACGAAGACGCGGGCGGAGAAATGGGAGCCAGGGCAGGGGGCACGCAGCCCCAGTAAGTAAGCCTCCCGCAGCTTTGGGCAAGGGGCCGCCTCGTCTGAGTACAGCAGCTTCCCGGTTTCGGCTCTTACCTTGAACACTTTCCCAAAGGCTCCGTCCCCTAATTCACCTATAATTTCCCAAAAGTCCTCGGGATTCAAGTCTCTCTTCACATGCTCGTATTGCTTCTTCTTCTTGTCGCTGCCCAATTTGAAGATTTTACGGAAATTAAAAAAGGACATTTTTCCTGCCGGCCGAAGCTCCCTCCAGTTACAGAATAAAAACCACAGTAAAAACCCAAAGTTTCTCTTTCTTTTGCTTCCTCCGTTTAGGTCTCAATCGTAGGCAGGCGATCGGGCAGGAGGCGGGATAGGGGTCCCGGAAGGCGCCCCACTCCTCCACGCAGCCCGGCCCGGCAGGGTTGGGCTGTCCGCACCCCCGGGGAGGAGCGACCCACTCGCAAGGTCCCGGCCCCCACCGGGGGGAGGCTGGGGGAGGCGGCGCTCCGTGCCCAGCAAGTGCCGGCCAACGCGCCTCCCAGGCGGGCGGGGAGGCGGCCGGGCCCGCGGCCGTCCCGAGGGAAGGAAGAGGGGGAGGGCGCCTCGCCTCCCGACCAGGGCCCCCGCGTCCCCCACCCGGGACCCCGAGGAGCCCGGAGCCCGCTAGGGGCGCGGGGGGCGGGAGGTCGACGTGCTAGCTGTCCGGGCTCCGCGGCTATCAGACCGCAGGCCCGCGTCACGCCAAGTCCCGGGAGCGGGCGGCCAGCGGACGGTAGCTTCTCGGGCGATGCGGGGGCGAACCGCCGGCCTCCCTCACTCCGGGCCCCGTCTCCTTCCCTGTGGGCCCGCAGGCGCCGCTCCTGCGAAGCGGAACTCGAGCCGTCTCTGTGGCCCGCCTAGTCTCCCCGGCGGCGCTCCCGCCGCGACCGCCTTGGTGCCTCTTTAGCCTCCAGAGCCTCGGCCTGGGGCGCGCGCCCGCGTCCTCGCACACGGCGGCGTGCCCCGGCTGGTCCCGCGCACGCGCGCTCGGGCCGCGCGAGCTCAGCAGCCGTTGGGCGAAGCCGTTGAAGACCGTTGGTGTGGGGACTTTGCGTGGACGCGCTTTCTGGTGGCTCTCCTTAGCCAGAGACTGGGGGTTGGCGGGGACGGGGGCGGGGGGAGAATCAGATATAACCCAATCACGATGATTTGAGTAGTGACAGTGAACGTTGAGGGCATCCACTACAAATATGATAGCGCCCTAGATGATCTCCACCCCGCCCTTCCAGAAATCCTTGACTCAGGCCAAGTTACCTCATCGCCTCATCCCAGGGTCTGTGAGGATTTGTCATTGAACCTGCAAAGTGTGGCAACCCATGTTGGAGTCTGAGAGTATTTTTGCACATTCAGAGACTCTTTTCTTGAGTCACCTCCTGAAGACACAGGGTAAAGCACCAGACTAACTTCAAATGACTTCCCTTGTCTCGTGATGAAAGTCCCAGTAGTGCTGGGCTGAGAAAAATCTGCTTTCTCTTCATCACTTTCCCAAATTTTATCCCTTATGTCCTCACATTTTTAATCAGTCAACAAGTGTTAAATGCCTACTATGTACCAGAGACTGTGCTAGGCTGTAAGTATACAAGCACAAAGAATAAATAATTCCTACTTGCAATGACGTTACAGTCTAATGGAAAAGACAAGTACATACGGAAATATACACAGTATAAATATAAAGAGAATAAATACAAGGAAACCTAGGGCATCAGCAGTTGAACCAGGAAAGGTTTCAAGTAGAAGATTATGAGCTGTGTCTCGAAGAATGAAGAATAAAGAATTTTATGAAACAGATGTAAAGGGAGAGTGAGATGGCCAGTGTAAAGTTATTGAGAAGTGTGTTGGAATCTCTTGAGGAAGGAACAGAAATCGTATGTGACTAGATCACAGAGTGTACAGAGCAGGAAAGGTGGAATGATGCTAGAGAGATAGGGTGGGGTTCTGTAGAGCTTTAAAAGTGAAATAGGAATTTAGATTTTTTTCCCATTGGCACCATAAAGCTACTGGAGTTGGTTGAATAGGAGAGTCACATGATCAAGATCAGATCTGCATTTAAGGAAAATTATGTTGGCAACAGTGTGGAGGATGGACTAGATCAGTGAGAGACTAATTAAAAAGGGTATTGCAATAATGTAGAAGAAAGGTATATGCGGCTCTGAACCAAGGGAGTAGCTGTATGAGTTAGAGAGAAAGGGTCGGGATGGATAAATGTGAAAATAGAAAGGGCAAGATTTGGCAACTGATTGCATATGTGAAATGGAGGAATCCAGAGTAATGCTGAGGTTACAACCTGACACACTGGAAGAACAGCAGTGTTTTCAACAGAAAGAGAGAAGAGAGGAAGCCACTAGGTCATCTTGAAACCTGCATAGGGCAGTAATAGAAGATGGAGATGTAAGGGTGAGGGCTAAGTAACAGGAACTAGAAGTTCAGAATTAAGGTTTTTAAGTTTTAATCTGCAGATAACTTTTGAACTTGTTCCTCCTTTGGGGCTAGGTTCTGTCAGAGATACAGGTTTATGGTACTATTTTCATAAAGGTCACTTTGTTATCCTCCCACCCCACCCTCTGCCCAGCCTTCTCCCTACTTGAGGTCCTCTGTCTACCCCACCAAGTCCCAGTCCACTTTAGAATTATAGATTTAGAGCCAGAAGGGAACTTAGTAAAGATTAGTTTACAGAAAAGAAAAAAGACCCAAAGAATGATTTGCCCAGAGTCACCCAAGTAACAGACAGCAGAGCGAATACTGAAATACTGTGGTCCTTATTCTGATATTCGGCACTCTTTCCACCATACCATGCAGCCCAGCTCTGCTGCCTCTTAATTTCAAATCAACAGATATTCAGAAGCCTTCTAAAGACAACAAGGCACTGTGGTAGGTACTGAAGACAAAGAGGATAAATACAACTTGATCCTTTGCCCTCGACAGGCTTAGAACTCAGGAGGCGAGATGAAGTGTATGCAGATAGCCATAGTCAAGGCTGAATGTAATGCCACTGATAAAGTTCTACTTTACTGCTTCCTTGTCTTGTGGAAACGTGACCCTGGGTTCTTGGCGGCTGTATCAGCAGACAGCAAGTACTGGAAGTTATTAACAAACTGAAAAGGCTTTAAGAATGGGTCTGGAGATGGACTATATAACTTGTCTAAGATCAGCCTAAGTTTGAAGAGGTGGAAAACAGGGGATGATATTTTGGGGCCTTGAAAAGTCATTATCTATTAAGCAAAAGAAGTGATAACGATTTACATTAGTAAAATCATTGGTATTTGACAGTACAGAAGAATGTATTATGTTCCACAAGAAAAGTAAAAACAAAATTCTTTAGGGGTTCAAAAGAGAGAGAAAAAAATTCATTTAAGACCTTCTTAGCTCTATCCCCCACAAAGCCCTGGTTAGTAGCCAAATAACATACTGGTGAATGCAAAGAACTGAAGACCATGAAGAAAAACCTCTTTCCTCTTCTGACATCTAGGAAATCACGTATCTTTCTGAATACCAAAGGGATGATAACATCCAATAAACGTTCATTCATTCAGAAACATTAAGTATATGCAAGTCAGCTCTCACTTTTCTTTGCAAAGGTAAAGGACCATGGATATAGAACATGATATTAGACTTGGATGATGTGTTGGTTAATTTTGCTGAACTTTTTTTTCCTCATTTGTTGTTATAAGCTGGGATAGTTCTCTGGAAGAGGGTATAATAAGAAATGTAGGTGATGTAAAAATAAATATAGCAAAAGTGGATTGGAGTGTACAGATTGGAATATGTGTAGGGATAGACCTGTGGGAGCTCCATTCTGGGAGCTGAGTTGGGTAATGCCTACTTCTCAAAACTGAAAAATGTGCACTTTGAGATAATAGGGTAATAATTCTATTGGACCCTTGGTCCCACCATGATGGCAGCAAGGGGAACCTATGTCAAAAGGGATTGGCCAATGAGGCAGGAAAAAATACACATTCAATAGCTTTAAAGAAGAGACAACCTCTTACTCTCTTCTCTCCAGAACATGTGGCATGGAACTCTCTTACTGGGACTTCATTTTTTAGGCTGGGGAAGAGGAAATGTACCTATATCAGCTGCAGGCCATGCCACTTTTGGACAACTTTGTTATATTTAGCTGAAATTTATTTCCCTGTAGTTTGTACTCATTAACCCTAGTGCTACCTTTCAGAAGAATGCAAAACAAAACTGGTCAATTTTCCACATAACAACCCTTAAAATATTTGAGTATAGTGATCATG